AACGTGGACTTAGAGCGGGAAGATCGTGCCTCTCACAGCTACTTGACCACTATGACAAAGTCACCGAGGCATAAGAAGAAAAACAGAACGCAGATGTGGTATAAATGGACTTCGCAAAGGCATTCAATAAATGTGACCATGGAGTGATAGCACACAAAATGAGGTCAGTGGGAATAACCAGTAACGTAGGACGGTAGATACTCAGTTTTCTGTCGAACAGAACACAAAGAATAGCAGTCAACCACATAAAATCAAGTCCAAGAACAGCTGAACGCTCTGTACCTAAACCTACAGTCCTTGCACCTCACCCCTCTACTTCCCTCACCCCACTACTTCCCTCACCCCACTACTTCCCTCACCCCTTGCCCACACCTTTTATTTCATTTCTTGGCCATTCCGTTTTGCGATACATCATTAATCTTAATTATGTTACCCGGTAATCAGTTTCAGAAATTATCACCCCAGTTTCCAAACCGGTTCTGCCCAGTTCCTTCCTATTTGTAAAGTCATTAATATCCTCTTTCCTGTTCTATTTTGGGTTGGCATACTTAAAACATTTACATCTGCATCGTTACACCCTTTTATCCATTGGTATTCCAATTTAGGGAGAGTAAAAAAGCATCACTGTCAAGTTTCTCAGTAATGATGAGAGGAAAATTCCACATTGCCTGGAGTGAGAGAGGAAGGTCATCATTCTCAGTGATGACGTTATCAAGAGCCTCCACGGGCAGCAGGAGAGGTGGAGGTGGGCAGCGACCACCACAACCTTCATGCCCCGGCTATCAACACCACCTCCTTACAAACATATTTGGTTTTCTGTTGTTTTAGTTTATTATTGATCCCATATCCGTCGTGTGGGAGGTATAGTGGTCCCCACACCCGTCGTGTGGGAGGTAGTGGTCCCCCACACCCGTCGTGTGGGAGAGGTAAATAAGTTATTATCAACAGAAGGCACCAAGCTGGGGAGGCTATGCACGTGGCACCGTCAAAAGTGCGGAATATCCAAAGGCGCTAAATATCACTAAGAACAAAAGCGCATCAGGAGAACAACATCAAAGGCATCCGATTCACCAAGGACACTATCAAGGGACAGGTGACCGCGAAGAACAGTCGGGAGGCAAGACATAGGCACATCCTGGAAGTCAGGATGTGCCTACAAGTGACAAAGTCAACAAGGATATGCACGCCGGTTACGGTGGTAGGAGGAAGGCCATGGGGGCACACTACCCCTTAAGATTATGTAGCTTATTACAGTAGCAGAAGATCAGCGAGCCTGCCAGCGGGGCATGTTTCGAGGAATGAATAACAGGGTAGAAGTCAAAATGAGGAACACCTTTAGGGAAAATGGGACAAGAGCGGATAGCCTCCTTCGTGGCAGCATCCGCACGTCATTTAAGGACACACTAATATGACCGGGAACCCAGCAAATTTGACTGTCTTAAATCTGCTGGAGATAAGATACAGCCCATATTTAATTTTGACGACCACAGGATTGAGAGGATTAAAAGACTCCAGAGCCATGAAGGCACTGGAGTCGAGTCAACTACAACAACCTTTGTTGTTGTAGTTGACTCTCACAATGTCTTGTGCTCTGATGAGACCATTGTAATGTACAGTTTTATTAATTGTCTGGGTAAGGTAAGACGATTATTTGTGGATGATTGTCTTTAAAGTTATCTGTGTATCTTTATATATTTTGACTTCTAAATCGCGTGGTTAAGTGAAGTATTATATATCTTCCCTTAAATGCTCTCAACTCTTTAAGACATAATTGTAACATGCTCGTGTCCGAAGCTAGACACAAATACAACAAAATTATTAAGGATGGTAACAGTCCATTCCATGTGGTCTCCATCTCATGTTGGCCTCCTAATGCATGATAGAGCTGATGAGTTAGCCAAAGAATCTGCCTTTAAAGGAGACGTTGAGTGTAACCTTTGATTGTCAATGAGCAATCTGAGAGCAGCAGTACACCAAGAACTTCAACAAAGTCTTGTAGATCTGAGGCAAAGTGAAATCGACACCAGTAATTCCATCTATCATCATACTATCATGCAAGAGGAGCCACACATCTATGGATCATCCAATACAATCAGCAGACTTCTAGATGTTACTACTGCTCGGCTTAGTCTCGGTTACAAGTATCTCTGGGAATTCTCATTATCTGCTGATGTAGAGCTGACCAAATGTAAACTGTGTCAACAAAATTATTCGCACACCCTCCGTCACTATGTGATGGAGTGCGAAAAGATACGTGAATTCATAGACAATTCTATAACCAATGTTCCAACGATGTGTAAATATTTCATTCAAAATGATCTGCTACCAGATTTTTTAGCCAAACATCCCCAGTTTGCTAACTATAGGTAGTAACTAAGTGATTGTAACCTATCCACCGCTGCCCACTGGATGGGGGGCGGTGTGCAGGACAAACATATCAATTGTGACACTAGCTCTCTACATATGGCAGATGCTTAATTTAGAAACCGTACTTGGTCGATCTCGAACCCATTGTTGATGTGACGACTTATACCGAATTTTGTAACTAGTTCATCAAGATTGTAACTTGCTTAGCTAAATGAATTGTGGGGTTCAGTCCCTGAGCCCATTATGTGCCTCTGTAACCCTTTCCACTACCGCTCACAAGATGGGTATGGGGTGCATAATAAATGAACTAAACTAACTTTGTGGGGACTTACTCATTTGTTCAAGTCCCCACAAAGTTAGCTTTTGAAACAAGTTTTGACTTTGCCAGGAGCTGTAATTTTCCTGTCTCAGAGCATCATTGTGGCGCTCCAGAAGGGAAACACCTTTTTCTGATCAGGGGGAGAAAGATACTGGCAGTATGGGGCTTTAAATTTATTGAAGATTAAATTCTGCAGAACATGTAAATATATAAAGTTTCAAATATATAAAGTAAGTAAATATATAAAGTTTATATTAAACACGGTTTATATTATAGACATATAAACAAAGTTTATATTATATTAACTTATAGATCCAAGAGATCCACAACTTTTAACCTTTCATTGTTTCACTATTTTTTCACCAATGTATAACTTGTAGCCTTTAAATATCTAATAAAGCAAAACAAATGCAAAAAGGCGGATGATAGGATAAAAGAACAAGGAACCTGTATTTGAGGAGACCCAAAATTCCCTCTAATGCATTGTGTGTACTTTTCTCTGAGGCTATGGGCCCCCCTTTCATCCAGTCAATGAAATAGTAAATATATATTTTTTAATCTAGTAATTTACTTTATGATGTAAATCCAAATATAGACAGGCATTATAAAGGAACGGATTGGTCAGGTGGTGGTACCTGGTGAGCCAAATATGCTCAAGTAATGTTGAATCATCGACTTGGATTTTCAAATTCACCAGTGTTTTGACATTTACGGCTTTGGCGGGTAGGCAGTTCCATCGGTCAAAAAAGTTTCTTTTCGACCAGTTTCTTATATTTTGTCCAATATTGATTTATTGAGCTTAAAATCGTTGCTCTTTGTTTGTTACATCTGACCTTCAGAAGAAATTGCCTGGATCAGTATCCTCCAAATTATTCAGTATTTTAAGTTTCGATGAGATCAGCCCTGTCATGTCTGGTTTGCAGTGTTGTTAGCCCTGCGGCCCCTCTGTCATCCCTGGTACAAGAATTGACTTGGTTTTGGAATAATTCTTGTAGCCCGTTGTTGCACTTTCTCCAGAGCAGCTATGTCCTTCTGAAGACGAGGTCTTCATGCTTCAGTTCAAAATGAGTTATGTCGCTATTATTAGCTGTGTTTATGTTATTCCGTGAGTGCTATGTTGTGTACTGGTCTAGGGTATACAAGATATATCATACATCATAATGGACTTCTTCTTGAGAGGTTATCTTGAGATCACTGTATCCAATACAGTATTCCAAATTGGGCCGCTCTATAAATTTATCTAACATAGTCCATGTACACTATACCTACCGAAAGTCCTTTATCCGAGTAACTGTTTGCGGTTACCCTTTCAAAAAAATGTGAGCAAGTTTGTAAGGCAGGTTCTATTTTTAACAAACCCATATTACGTCGATTTTATTAGATTGTTCACGGTGAGATGGTGAATGATTCCTTCCCATCTGCATGTACCCACTGGATACATTTTTCCTATTGTCAGTAAAACCTAAGACGACTTTCTACGCTGCCATTACTTTGTTCTATAATTTAATAAACTACAAAACGAAATACTGTTATTTTGACAAGACAGCTTTCATTTTAAGAAGACTTCCAATTATGAGGAGACAATTTATAGAGAAGAGTGGTCATTTGAAGATGTCCTTTTCTTTAAAAAAAACAATAAATTTCTAAAGAAAACAATTTTTAAAAGCAAAAATTGTCATTTAATATTACTGCCATATCAAGAAACTCGTTATTAATTAGAAACAGGTCATTAAAGCCTAGGAAGAACTCTTATTACGAGGAAGATGATACAAAACTGTTACATTTTAAAATGTTAGTTTTTTTGGAACAGTCGTTAAAATATCCACACCAAATTGAAGGTGATACATGTCTTTGACGTGACTGCTGTTGATAATAATATAAATGCACTACTTGAGATAAACACATCAAAATAGTGTTGGTACCTTAAACACTAACATTGGCAGCTCGCCAAAAACGATGAGAATTGTGTTGGTCACTTTTAAGCACTAGATTCCTCACACTGATTCAACAATGAAAGTTTTTCTTTAAATATAACAATGGTCAGGATTTAACTCAAACATGGAAGCTAAAATCCAACACGCCATGCCCAGTGTGAGGCAAGGTGTCAAAGCACAGACGATGCAGCCAACTGTGTTGAGCGTTAAGAAATCCTGTTACATACCAACACCTGTTTATGGCTAACGAGTCTATGACCGCTCACAGGACCCAGGAGATTAACAGCATCTCACAACGATAAGAAGATGCTGCCCAGGTAAGAGCAGCCGACCTCCCTGGCCCAGTTGCCTAACTACTCTCCCTTCCCTTATATACTTACCTAAACAAGCGCTGAGGGCTTCGTCCACAACTAGAGGATCCATAATTGACATATTCCACACGCCAAGCACCTTTGTGGGGCTAAAAACTCCATGGATAAGCACACATAGCAGCACAGAAGCACAGTACACTACACTCCACTCACTGGCTAACACAACACTGGTTAACCTGTGGCCGCCCGGGCCGCCGCTGGGCTGATTACGTAGGCAGGAGGGATGCCCGCTTCATCCACGGCCGCCCACCTCACTCAACTCATATCTGCTCTCCCTACGGCATTTACCATTATTATGAAAGCTTATAATGACAATGATTTATAATTTATTAGTCTGCACACGCGTTATCATTAGCAGTGCCAGCACTGATAGTGGCCCACTTGTAATAGTCTGCGGATGCACCAACAGATGGCGACACGGCCGGGATACGATAATTTCATACTAACTATTTTTTCTCATCGCTTACAAGAATTAAATAAACAGGAGAACAAATACTACAAAATATTACAAAGGGAATCACAAAATTAGTCACTGGATGGCTTTGTTGCCAAAAGTCGAATGAAAAATCTAAAAATTTAGGCAATTAACTATTAGAAGTTATCAGCCATGATCAAGAAATGTATTATAAGCTTCACCCGCTCACATGTTTTTGTTTAATAACTGGCTTAATTATACACAGCAATGTGCTGCTGCCCTATTCTATATGAATGATTACAATGTGTAAATAAAAAACAAGCTGTAGGTTCATCTAATATCTCCATCTCACAGGATGCTTATCATTACACACACATATCATAGTAGCATGATGCATCAAATGAACAAATCCACAAGGGCCGTGACGAGGCTTCGAACCTATGTCCGAGAGGATCCCAGACGCTGTTTAATCGACTGAGCTACGACATGGTAAAAAGATTGCAACCGGGAAATCATCCTGATTGACCAACGGATCCTGCAATCACTCCGAGACACAAACCAGGGTTTTACGCAATTTCTCCATGCACTTGAGCTGTCAATAGGGTGTTCCTCTTCGCCCTTACTTCATTGCACTTCTTTTTCATTTACCATGTTGTAGCTCAGTCGATTAAGGCAGCGCCTGGGGTCCTCTCTGACGTAGGTTCGAACCCTCGTCACAGCCCTTGTGGATTTGTTCGTGGTTTATCATATCTGAATTTACCCGAGGGCAACTAGCACACTAGTGGCCTCGTCGAAGACAGGAAGCCAGCGGCTTGTCAAAGGTTCCCCCCCCCCTCATTAACCCCGATGAGTTTTCCAGTTGGATTTTAAAATTCAACAGTTTTGGCATTTACGACTTCGGCAAGTAAGCGTTTCTATGGGTTTATAACCCTGTGGGTGAAAAAAACATGTTTTCAGTTCTAAATTGTGGATTGTTAAGCTTGAAACGCTGCTCCTTGTCTGTGTTACAAATGCTGCAGGCATGGTGCAAGTCAAGCAAGCAGAAGTGAAGCATAATCCACTAAAGATCTGATGTATATAAGGTATATCATTTTGACAATTCTTTCATTGGCACAATAGCCAAAGTGATGACTTGCAACAGCCTTGAGAGTTGTTGTTGTTGTTATAGATTCAGCTACTCGGAACAAGTTCAAAGTAGCACGGGCTATGGTGTGCCCGTAACTTACCTGGCACAGGAGCTGGACAATTAGCACGGGCTATGGTGAGCCCGTAGTGGACTTACCTGGCACAGGAGCGGTGCTGTGTGCGCGGGCCTTGAGAGTTGTTGTTATAGATTCAGCTACTCGGGACAAGTTCCAAGTAGCACGGGCTATGGTGAGCCCGTAACTTACCTGGCACAGGAGCGGGGCAAGTAGCACGGGCTATGGTGAGCCCGTAGTGAACTTACCTGGCACAGGAGGGGTGAAGCTCCTGTGCCTTGAGAGCTCCGAGTCTCTATACTGACGACAGAGTCTGAATACAACAGGACCATACAGTGGTACCTCAAGGCCAAGAAGGTATTTGAATCTGTTCACATAGTCAAGCTGGGAGCTATCACAGTTGCATCTTGCGAACAGCTCCTCCCTGCCTGGGTGGGCGCCGATTTAGTATCTTTACTTTCTCTGCTGAGATGACTAAACCTAGGTCCTGACATGAGTATAATATAGAGTTAAGAGTGTTCTGCATGTTAGCATACCCAGTGGTGGGTATCATTATATCATCAGCATAGCTAATGATGTGCACGTTGGGTTTCCTCGGTACAGAGTTTAACAGCGTGTTTATAAAGATATTAAATGAGGTAGGACTGAGGACACCTCCCTGTTAGGTACCTAGTTCGAAGTCTCTTGTTACACTCCTATGCCCCCTGGAACAATACAGATGACTTCCTGTTGGATAAGTAACCTCTGATCCAACAAAGAAGCCGAACACCAATATTCATTCTTGCAAGCTCACTCAAGGTAACATGTCGATTTGTAATATCAAAGGCAGATTTGAGATTTAGGAAGATGGTATACGACTTTTCAGTGTGCAGGGTAAGAAAGGTGGTGATGCAATGATGCACACTCCTTCCATGTATGAAGCCATATATCTGGGGGATATCACGGTTCTTATTCTATGGAGGAGACGGTTTAGGACCATTCTCTCGAATGTTTTGCAAATGCAGCTAGTAAGGGAAATTGGGCGAAAAGCATTCTCTTGTTTTGGCTTGGGAATTGGAATGATTATACTGTTGGTCCAAGAGATAGGAAGATGCCCAGTAACATAGCTCACATTATACAGCTCAAGAAGGGGAGTCCCTGGTACTAAAGGGAACAGATGCAATATGTCGTAAGTGATACCAACCTCACCGGGGGATGTGGCTTTACCTTTGTTTAGGGTCGAAAACAACTCAAAGGTAAAGCCACATCCCCCGGAGAGGATGGTATCACTTATGACATATTGCGTCTGCTCCCTTTAGGACCAGGGACTCCCCTTCTTGAGCTGTATTATGTAAGCTATGTTACTGGGGAACTTCCTACCTCTTGGACCAACAGTATAATCAAGAGACTTGGTAATCAACAGTAAGAGATTTGGCACCCAGCTAAGAAATATGGCAAAACTTTTTATAGAAAAAACAATAAAAGGAGGTGTTACCAGACATTACTCGCAAGTCATAGGAAAAGGAAAACTGACAGACTGACAGGCTACTTTGGGAAAGCCAACCGTGACAATATACATACAGATTGGATGTCTATGAGGAATGCCTGTGTGTCAGACCTTTTCCATGCAACATCCACAGACGAAAAACACATCCACACTCACTGCCCCAAAGGCAAAGATTCTTGGTGTTTTAATCAAGACGATGTTGCAAAGAACAAACCAGTTCAGTCTCACGAGCTCATGCAAATTAAATCTCATCTCGCAGAAAAGTACATGACCAAAGTCCTCAAGATTTACTACGGTCTTACCACAATAGAAAAATTGAGTAAATGCATGAAGGGTAAGACTCAAAACCCTAATGAGTTTGGAGACTCTCCTTAAAAAGACAGATTTGTGTCAAAACCAATGCTTGACTTTGTTATGTATGCAACAGCTGGTGCATACAATGGCGGGTATGAGAAGGCATACCTGGATGAAGCTATTGGAATGCTTCCTCGTAACTACAGCACTACCTATTTACCTGGATGAAGCTATTGGAATGCTTCCTCGTAACTACAGCACTACCTATTTACTGCAACTCGGGATTAAAGAGATGCAGGAACCTGTCTGGTGCACGATGATGAGGGCTAGTAAGGAGGGTCCACAAAATGGATATGCAGCTGGTTCCTTCTAGCATTGCTGAGTGCCACCTAGAGGGACAAATTTCACATATCAAATTATAATGAGTATGTTATTTTGCTGTATTTTATTGTACTGTATTTCATATTAATACTTTGATATGGCCATATTTATTATGTCCCTTTGTACAAGAAGCTGTCAACCATTTTTTTTTTGTATTTATTACCTTTTTTTACCTTTGTTTATCAGGCGATTTTGTTGCAGCTTCTGGATCTTAGAATATGCATACCCATCACTAAGTATGGGAAGTTGGAACAAATTTGGTCAACATGTATGTCAGCGACAGGTGGCACAACTTGTGACTATGTTTTATGTGAATTATTTACAGTTTAAGTTTTAAAGCAATTATCATCATTCCTGCATATTATGTTCAATGTTTGTAGGTCTATAGTATGCATACATAGTTTTTAATTATCTTAAAAAATTTTAGTTATAAATATTCAAAAATGGTAATTTGATCATTTTTCTGCAACTACTTTAGATAAAAAAGTAATCACCATTAAGATTAGATGCTATTGTGATAGTTTAGAGAAATATAAAGAATTTGATTCATATTTGTATTACAATATTGATAATGTTTGAATTTTCTTGAAAATTTATAATTTTGGCTCTCTTTTCTTTGTCTTTTAGATTGTTTTGCTAAATGGGGACCAGATGTGGACCTTACCATGTATATATTGCCAATAAAGTTACTGAAATATGAATGTTTCTTACCCACTGTTGTTGTTGTTATAGATTCAGCTACTCGGAACAAGTTCCAAGTTAAATTTTTTTATTATTTTTCCCGTGCTCAGGGAACACAAATAAATTAAAAGAAAAATATTTTTTTGTATTTTTTTTTTTGTTGCGCCTGTGGGTGTTGAAGCCATTTGGACCCCTCACGGTTTAAGGATTAAATGGGAAGACGATGGACATTGACCAGGATGGACAGGAGTGGGGGAAGATAAAAAAAACAGAGGGAAAGACTGAGAAGAAAGATGGGATAGAAAAGTGAAGGAAGACAGAGGAAGGAGAAGTAGAGAAGCAGTGCTAACCCAGTGGGTAGAAGAGTGGTAAGGTTGGAAACGACTGTCGAAGATCTAAGAGGAACACTTGTGGCCAAAGATAATTGAGGAGTGCTAGAAGAGGTTTTGGAAACAGTTTTGGAATGAAGGAAGGGAAGAAAGGTGGGGAAGAATAGTCCGACGCAATGCACGAGAATAAGTAATGTTTGAGAAAAAGTGAAGATGGCGGATCTGACGCAATCCTCAGGGAAATATATACGATCGCAATGCTCCAAGGCGAGGACGTTCTGTTCGAACTTATAATGGAAGCATGAGAGAATAAAGACAGGATGGGCTTCACCACAGTTGATGCAGCGAGCTTGGGAAGAAGAGCAACCAGTGTGAGAATATCCAGCAGCACCATACAATGGGCAAAGGGACATCTTGCTACTGCACCTAGAAGAATAATGACCAAATTTCCAACACCTATTGCAGAGGCATATACTCCTGAATGGAGCATTGGGTACCGACAAGAATGTCGGAAGAGTTCCTACCATCAATAGTGATCTTAACAATATGAAGGGATTGACTATGAGTGAACGAGTCAGTCTGAATGATAGAAAAGACCTGGGCCACGAGGATATATTTATTATCCTCATGATAGTCTTTGAGGTCTCTATCACCAGTTGCAACATGATGCGAGAGAACAACAGTGCTAAAACTGTCATTCCACAGGGTATTTTTGGACACCTGAACCAAGGTCTCACTAATGCAGGAGAAAGTAGCTAGGCAGGTGGCTGCCTCATGAAAAGGGGCCACAACCACATGTGCACCAGTCCAGGTTGGGTTAAAGGTAACTTGGAAATCCACAGGATAAACTAAATGCTTATGAATGGGTACATCATCAGGGTGGGTATATTCATCGTGACAAAGATCAAAATACTTAGGCCATGTGTGGGGCCAAACAAACCCTGAAAATGTAGCAGTGATAGCAGGAAACGGATGCGTGCGAGTGTGGTGATGGTAAACCCCCATGAAGCAG